AAGCTTCTAAGAGACAAAAGGGGGACCGGAAAGTGGGTTGCCTACTCACCCCTCAAAGATGTTTTATACAGCAAAGCCATGTCGTGAGGTGGGTACAAAGTGGTACAAAACTGTAAGACCCAATTGAAAATTACAAGGTGGGCAAAACCGTGACCAACCAATAAGATCACAAGTACCGTCACCCAGGTAATATTGATTAAATGGGAGTCAAATGGGAGAGCAAGTCACATAGCAAGTGTACAAGGGTTTTCAGTAAGTGTTGGGGGTCAGGGATATTTCCTGGAAAGGCTAGGTTAAGACCTTGGCCCCCCACCCAGGTTAATGAAACCTACTTTGAATATCAATCACTGCTAAATATCCCCAGGGGAAGTACAAAGGTATAGTAGTTTCTCTCCTTTTACAGTTCTGGCCTTCAGTGAAAGTGTCTTGATTGTCCTCCATGTTGGCTCCTTGAGGCAGCCCTGTCTAACTGCCTACAAGATATCTAATTAGCTTACTTATCTGTGATATTCCCCCCTCTGAAGAAGAACCCCTAACTGCTGTGAGGGGCCAAAGGGTGACAACAGCTCTGGCTACTTGCAGGTGAAGAGGGTCATTGTTGTGATCAGCAGTTAGAGTTACTTTACAGAGGGTCTATCTAAAGGCCTTTGGTAGGTGCCTGGCTTTGTCATCTTGGTAGCTGCATAGCTTTTAAGTCTGGAGGAGACAAAGCCAAAGAAACAGATAAGAATGCATGGGCCAAATTATAAGGTCAGCAGGATTGCTGTGAATATAGCCCACAAATTGGATAAGGAGAAGGTCCAGGGGACTTCAGAATCCAACATAGAAGTCATATTGTATAGTTTAGCAGTTATGAGCTGTTTACAAGATTGATCTGGTGGCTCCAGCTAAAACAAGTCTAGCACATTTGTCATGGCTTCCATGTGTATGACCGCTTGGAGTTTGGCAGCCTCTAGGCAAGAATAAACAATGCTTTTAAGAAATTAGAGTATGCATAACCTAAGCATGAGCACCCTAGAATGAAAGGGCAGGTTGGAGAGAAAGTCACATTTAGAAATTGAAATAGTGATTGAACCTGGCGAATTTAAATTCTTTCATTGATAGAGGTTATCTGTAAGTCTGATACTTTGTCATAAGACTCTAGTTTTAGCTGTAAGAGACACTTTGAAGAACAAATTTCGCTAAGAAATATAAAACTCTAGCTGAGCTCTTACAGATTTTACCATAGTTTTTTCCTAATGGTCGATAACCATGGTCAGCTACTGGTAGAGCTGGAAACTGCCAGAAGGGGGCAGTAACTGGAGCCCCTTTTTATATCGAGCTTTATTGCTATGGCATTATTTTATAGGTCAGTTAAGTGTCTTCAGGCATTATTTTGGAACCTCTAAGCTCCTGTCAGTGTCAGCCATCAGGATGGGTCATGTTCTTGCTTGACCATGTTGTTTTCAGTGACAGCATGGGACACTTTTCCCTCATGGTGCCCCTCCTTTGGCACACAGTATATTTGTCCTCTGGTGTCCAGCAATCTCCCTGCTCAGGAGGTTGAGTGACTTACCAAAGATGTAGAATCTTGTAGGAAAGGTTCCTTTGTGTCCCGGATCTTGTAGTCCTTGAGGGGCCAGGGCCAAAATATTGGCTGTCCTCATAGCCCAGTTACCTTTCTAGTTTTGGTCTCCAAACTTCAGTTGTTGAACACCCAGAAGAGAAGACCAGTGCCATTAGTAGTGCAGTAGGAGTAGTGAGTTTAACCGTCATAGAGAGAACTGGCTTAGGCTTAATCCTGAAACTCTTGAAGCCTTTGTAGCTAGGTTTTCTAGTCAGATAAACTGTCAGTTTAGGGCCCATCTTTTTTTTTTTTTTTTTTTTTTTTTTTTTTTTTTTTTTTGGTTTTTTGGTTTTTTGAGACAGGGTCTTACTAGGTAGTTGAGACTGACCTGGAACTCACTATGTAGCCCAGGCTGGTCTCGAACTCCCAGCGATCCTCCTGCCTCAGCCTCCCGAGTGCTGAGATTACAGGCGTGTGCCAACATGCCCAGCTAGCTTAGAGCCTATCTTAAAACTGTTTTTGCATTCACAGGTATAGAGAAGATTTTTATTCCTTTTGATTCTTATTACAAGAGATCACTGTTAATTGATCTACAAAGTTCTGGCTAGTCTTTTTTATAATTATAACCCTAAAATTATAATTCAACTTGGCCAAATACATCTTGAGTGCACTCTGGTTTATAAACAAGCTGTCTTATGTGTTGTCTGTCTGCCTGTTCAATTTGTTACAATGTGTACAGTTGTTTTGTTTGAGTTTTTATTTTCTTTTGGCATTTTGGATTTTTAAAGATGTTTGCCTGTAACTCAGGTTGGCTTATAGATAAATGTCACTGAAGAATGCTTCCCCCAGGTTGCCAGATGATCCAAATAATGTCAACTGGTTTTACAAATACAGTACATATCGTTGTCTATATATAACTCGGGAATCTTTCATTGGTCAAAAATAATGTGTTAATTGTTATGATCTGGCTCTCATAGATCATCTAAAAATTTAAGGTAATTAAAAAAAAGAGACTCTTGGGTTTAGGAAAACTACTGGACAGGACTCCCCTTGGTAAATGAAGGAGTGGCTGCCTGGAAAAATATATTCCAGCCTTTGTTCATAAAGGGGACTCCAATAATTTCCATAGCCTTGTGGAAAATACATTGCTAAACATATTATTGTGATATGTATACATTGGTCATGGTCAGATGGCCAAACTTTCTATGGGAAAACAATAAGGTTTTATTTAAAATGCTTTTGGTACAAGACAAAATTAAAGGACAGAGGGTTTCATGTAACTGTTACTCATTGTTATTTCATGGTGTATATACTCATGCCTTCTGGGTGTTCAAGTCGTCTAGGATATTTATGGTACTGATCTTTTTGACTCAGGTATCTGCCTTTCTCTTACACTCCAGCTACTTGTGATAAGAGATAAAGGTCAAGCCAGCATGAGAACCAATCAAATAATAGTTTTCTTAAAAACATATGTGATGTATGTTATATGTGTCACCACACTTAGGGATGCTAAGTTGCCAATCAAAACAATAACACACTAAAATGAGAGGTTAGACATTATGAACTCCTAAGATACATTTATAGGCCAATATATGTTCTCCTTAGATGGCATCCTACTAAAGGATAACGAATAAGAGTTTCCTGTATGTCACTTAATGTCTTGTGATCGGATGGAGGTGTTTGACTGAAAGAGTGTTCCATACTAAGATGAACATGTAAATGTTACAAAGAAGGCCTGGCGTGGCGGCGTACGCCTGTAATCCCAGCACTTGGGAGGCTGAGGCAGGAGGATCGCTGGGAGTTTGAGACCAGCCTGGGCTACATAGTGAGTTCCAGGTCAGTCTCAACTACCTAGTAAGACCCTGTCTCAAAAAACCAAAAAAAAAAAAAAAAAGTTACAAAGAAAATGTCAACATGATTGTCCTGCTAAAATACGATGTGTGGCTCTTGATCTGAAGCTTCTCTATAATTTATAACTGTTTTCTGTTAACATTCTACAAAGGGTTCCACTACTAGAACAACTATGGTTGATAAGAAATAACAGCCCATCGAATTGTGCTTCTTCAAAGTGCTTAGCGTCCGGCCAAAATTATAGGTCAGCTCGCAGCCCCCTTCTGACGGTACAGTTACCTTTTCTCCCGCCTCACCTTTCCGCAGGAGCCCCGCAGCCTGAGCGCAGCGTCGCCAGTCATGGCTGAGGCCGTTCCCCCGCGCCGCTTCCGCC